GTGTTAGGATTTCTTCAAAATCATAGACATGTTAATCATAAATGTTAAAATAGCTCAAAGAAGCATTTTAGATATCCAAAAATATCAAAAATAGGATTTGCAGACCCAAACGGTCGACGTAAACGGTCAACCGTTGCTTTAAAAATCGAAACGGAACAAGACTGTCAGACAAACGGTCGACCGCCAGTGGTCAACGGTCGACCGTCGCCTGCCCAGCAAAGTGCCGCCGTCCACCTCCAGTCAACCACGGTCGACCGCCGGTCGACCGCAGTCGACCGTCACGGTGATTCCCCAACCTGACGCGATGAAGTTTAAGGTCGACTGTCGCGCCTAACGGTCGACCGTTCCGAGCCCCGTAGCTTAAATAAATGATATTTTTATCAAATTTCATCCAAATAAAATAAAGTTTATTTATCCAATCATGTTGTTTACAAATTGTTCATATCATGTGATTCATTTCATCATCCATATTGAAACATATCACATCATGTGCATGCGCAAGAGATCAGGCGGAAGTGCGTCTCTTGTAGCGTGATGTGCGGGACTTATTAGTCCGACATCACCCGTTCCGGGCTTAGTGAAGGACTTTTCTCGAATCGCTGGATATTATCGTCGCTTCGTGAAGGACTTTTCTCGAATCGCCACACCACTTCATAAACTGATGAAGAAGGATGTCAAGTTCGCTTGGACAGAAGGTTGTCAGAAAAGCTTCAAACAGTTGAAAGAATGTTTGACTCAGGCACCTGTGTTAGTCCAACCAACACCTGGTACTGAATACACAGTTTTCAGCGACGCATCACATCAGGGACTTGGGTGTGTACTGATGCAGGAAGGCAAGGTCGTAGCTTATGCATCACGACAGTTGAAGCTCCATGAATGCAATTATCCGACTCATGATTTGGAGCTAGCAGCTGTTGTTCTTGCTTTGAAGATCTGGAGACACTACTTATACGGCGAGACGACTCGCATATTCACCGACCACAAGAGCCTACAGTATTTGATGAGCGAGAAGGAGTTAAACCTTCGACAGAGAAGGTGGCTAGAGTTGATTAAGGACTATGACTGTCACATCGCTTACCATCCCGGTAAAGCGAATGTGGTAGCCAATGCTCTTAGTCGTAAGACTCTTGCTGAACTCCGCATACGGCCTACGTTAGATCAGGATATCATTTCAGCACAACATCAGGATACATTTTGTCTTGAGACACGTGAGCTTGTTTCCAAGGGAGAGAAACAAGACTTCTCTGTTCGAGATAATGGTACATTATACTATCGAGATCGTTTGGTAGTACCATCAGGTGATGTGAGAGATTGCTTATTGCGTGAAGCTCACGGAACCGTGTATACCATGCATCCCGGAAGTAACAAAATGTTCCAAGATCTGAAGAGACACTATTGGTGGTCAGCCATGAAAAGGGAGATTACCGAATTCTAATCAAGGTGTATGACTTGTCAGCAAGTCAAAGCAGAACATCAGGTACCCACAAGACTTTTACAGCAAATCACTATTCCTGAGTGGAAATGGGACCACATTACGATGGATTTCGTAATCGGATTACCATTGTCCCCGAAGAAGAATGATGCGGTATGGGTTATTGTTGACCGTTTGACAAAGTCAGCGCATTTCTTACCAATTCGGCGAGATTTTACACTTCAGCGTTTGGCCGAACTGTATATCCGCGAGATTGTCAGGCTACATGGAGTACCATCGTCCATCATATCAGACCGCGATCCCCGATTTACTTCCAAATTTTGGAAGAGCTTACAGAAAGCTCTTGGTTCTAAATTACATTTCAGTACGGCTTTCCATCCTCAGACCGACGGACAGTCCGAGAGGACTATTCAGATTCTTGAAGATATGATGCGAGCTTGCATCATTGATTTTGGAAACAATTGGGAAAAATATCTTCCTCTGATGGAATTTGCCTATAACAATAGTTATCAGGCAAGTATTAAAATGGCTCTAATTAGGCGAAGATTAGGATTGATTTATGAAAGTCTTCTCGGAACGATTATAATAAAAGCAGAGTAAAAATCATAAATAAATTAAGTTTACATAGTATAAGTGTAGATCTGGATCTAGGGTCTAGACATCATTTGGATCTATTTTATCATATTAAATTAACAATTAGAATAATAATATTCCTATTACTACTCATCCATTTCTAGATTTGTACTTAATCCGTTGTACTTGAATATCATAGCCTTTTGGCATACAATATTTTCTCAATAAATGGCCAATTAAATCTTTCGATATTATTTAACCAAATAAGGCAAGAACAATAGATTAACCATTCCAAAATTAATTTAACATCAAAAATAAACAACCAAACTAGTCCGGACCTAGAGATCCGGACCCTAACTCATACTATGCAAACATAAATTAAAACAGCATTTTATTAAATAAATAAAACTTACTACTTCCGTAAAAGCGGAACAGAACAGATCGGGAGTCAAATCCTCCGAAAATTACTTAAAAATAATAACTAAACTAATCTACAATGAAATATTGAGCAATTTGAAGGGGAAACCCGAAATGGGTTGTGAGATGGTTAATGGAATGGTGGAGATCGCGTTGCTTTTTTAGGCAGGAAGTACGGGCGTCCAACTTTGGACGCCCGTCCACCAACCACGTGTTCCGTCAAGTCGCATTGTGCCGCGTGGCAAAGCCGTGTCACCAGGTAGCTTGGGCGTCCAACCTCTTCGGGCGTCCAACCTTGGACGCCCAAGACCCGAATCCAGAGCCCATTTTGCTTCCAATTGCAATTTCTCTTGATTTTGGGCCCAAAGTTGTTCCGTATCGGCCCAATTGGCTCCCGGACACTGATTTCTAACTCCAAAGTATTATGATCTTTAAAATTTAAAACTTTTTATCCAATTTGTACATAAAATTGACAAATCCACTTAATTTAATTTAGAACCTGTATTTTATTCTTCTTGAGACAAAACATCAGTTTTGTCGCTAGTAGACACTTTTAATGGGTAATTTTATTACTATTTTCGTGCAATAACGCTTAAAATATGTGGAATAAAATAAGAACAAAATGAACTTATCAAAACCCCCCAAATATCCCATTTATCACCCTTCAAATCCACAATAAAACCAAAGGAATAAATGATAATCCTTAATGTATTATTCCTCATGTGTGGACCAAAAATCCAGCCCCTCACCTCACCTTTCACATGGCTGAAATCCCCTCATCAAAGACACCCCATATTCACCCTTTAACACTGATCAATGAGGACAAACCAAAGGCATCAAATAAATGGATATTATACACTTGATTTTAGGAAAGTGGTAGGAAGCTTCTCCCCATTTCCTAATGAAATATCTCTAAAGTTGGCTACTTTTGAGTGTGTGTTAGGAGTCTATTTCATATAATAGTAGTGAATATTATTGTCTGAAAAGAAATAGCCCCAAATAAAATAAGAGTGTGTTTATCTCTTATTCATTATTTGGTTTATCCTTATACAACTAGAAAACCACCAAAGAACTTCCTTTTTCTCTCCCAATTTCGTCCATCCCCTTTCCCCCATTTAAACACTTCATTTCTCCATCAAAAACCACTCCAAAATATTGTTTTTCTCCTGCCCTATCACCTCTTCCAAACATCCATACTTTCTTCACCATTTTATACTCAAATCCAACCTATTCTTCACCATATATTCCCATCTATAATCTGCCCTTATTTATCCATAGCCTTTTCCTAAGCTTGGGTACATCAGTTGGTATCAAAGCTTGTTGTTACTCATCTCTCAAGGACCATACACACTTCCCCAACTCCCTCCCTAAATTCGGCCTGACCACATTCAATCCCTACTCCCACTTCATCCCTTTTCCTATCAACCATGTCAAACCGATCCTGAAGCATGTCTCATGAAGAACTCGTAGCCGCAAACGCTGCCTTGCAAGCTCAGGTGGAATACCTAGCCAAAGAAGTGGCTAAGCTGTAACGCATTAGAAACCGGGCTAGAAGTTAATCAATAATTAAACAAATAAGAATTATTTATTTATGACAAATTATTCTTTTAAAGAATTAAAAGATATTTTAGAGATTCTAGTCGTCTCAAATATAACGGAGCTAATCTAATTATATTGATAAGGGTTCTAACTAAAAGAATGATTAGTTCCAATTAATCGAAGGAATTAAGACGGACCGAGTGGAACATACAAATGTTTGTCGTTTGATTATAAAATTATATCACTGGGTAGAGATCAATGAATCGAACGGATTTCAATTCGGAGCAAGTTGGCCCGAAAAGTGTGTTTCACTCAGGCACATTATTTTAAATTACGGAGCACAAAACCCTAGAAATATAAATACTCCCTTTACGCTGTTTCATTTCTTCTTCGATGGAACCGCCGCCACCCTTCCTCCTTCTTCTTCATCGATCCGTCATAACGGCAGAGGCGCACGGCGACGGTGACAAGCGACGGCCTACGGCAATTGGATCCTTGGCAAGCTCCCGTCACAATTCCCTTTCGGCGACAAAGCCTCATCGTGACAGCGGCGACCTTTGGCAGAACAGCGACGAGGTTCGGGTGGTAGCTCCAGCGATCCACTCTACTCCGTCAACCTTTAGCAACAGCAGCAGGGGCGCAGGTGACAACTCCGGAAAGGGCTATCCTCTGCTCCGGCGGACCAGGGAGATCCGGCGACTGCCTCTGTTCCGGCGACTGGTTCAGGCAGCAGCGAGGATGGGTCCAGACAGTAGTGGCGTGCCCCCCCTTCTCCAGTGACCCACGGCGATGTTCGGGACGAATTGGGCAGCGGCAGTGCACGTACTCTGTCAACGGTGATTAGACGATGCTTTCTTGAATTCGAATTGAACAAACGAGGTGAGTACGTGGACATCTAACACTAGGATATGCATATGTGTTTGAAATTCCATTCATAATTATTATCATGGTTGATCTATGTGATTTGTCTATGAAATTGTTGGTTATGGTTTTGGGAATTGTTGTCGTTGAATCGGAAAGGGTAGTATGCATGACTTAGGCCTTGATCGACAAGTTTGATAATGTTTGGAATGTTATGATGAATTTATTGGAGTTGTTGAGTATGAAATTGCTGTTTGTTTGACATTGGAAAAACGAAACAGGTATGAATATGGAATTGGTGGTGT